TAAAAAGTATGAGACATTAAATGAAATAACTGAAATTTACATAAAAATTATAAGCTACTTAATGAATCTCAAGTGAAATTTAGACACAGATAGATTTTCTATCTATTAGTCTTATAAAATGACCATTCCTAAATGATGTCATATTTTTTTCTCAATATTTTTGAGACCTCCTCTCTTTTGTCACCAAATGTCACATTTCACCATACCTCCCTACCCTCCTCTTACTTCATAAGTCACGCTGCGCTATATGTATACATATGTTATCAATTATTGTTGCTGTTTCTAATGCGACTTGCCATACCAGCAAGTCTGCTTGGTGAAACCAACAAATTTAAGACAGAAGGTGTGTTTCTTGCTGTCAGTGGCTCCATCTGTGGCCAACAATATGACTTCAGCCACACATACGTCATATCCCGTTTATAGGACGGACCCATTCATGTATCCGTTCCTCCGTCCTCAGATCGTAATTTTGACCTGAACCAGAGAAAGATCAATCTCAGACTCAGTACCACCAGAGGTAAGATTTTTCTTGGAACATGGAGGACTTATTGATTCGACATGTAACGGATAGTTAATTCGTAGCAACAGATGGGGCTACCCCTCTATCCGCAAAAACAATAACAATAGTCTTCGTTCTGACTTACCAAGTGAGATGACGCAAGATGAGCTCCCCGAACCTTCCTGGTTCCCGTTTTACCCCAATCAGCTTAATGGGTAAAACTTTAAATTACTTTCTATTTTAGTCAATGTCATGTTGTTACTCTTTATTGTTAAATGGATGTGTGAATGTATAATAAAAATACTGAGCTCTTCGTGATGGTGTTTCCTTCCATCCTCTTGTGTCCTTACAAACAGATTTAACCTACATCAGCCAATTTTTAAATTTTAACTTCGTTTTCTTAATGGGAGCTGCATAATTATGATGTCTGTATATTTTAATAAAGAAGATGAAAATTATATTTAAAAAAATTGTATAGACATTTTTAAAATCCTGATTTGAAATATTTTATTCGAAGCAAAATATTGGGGATTTCACTCTTATTACCTCCTCCCTCCTATTTTTCACATATTGTAACAATTTCACGAATCTCCTAACTTTCCTAGAAGTGTAACTGCATTGCGACTTTTTTAAGCTTATAGTTATGATTACACATTCTAAGCAAGCAATTTATACCATAAGTTTAATTTTTTACAAAAGAAGTAATATTCCTGTGTTGAGGAGTTCTGAAATTTTACGCCAAATAATCTAAATTATAGCTGCCATTATATATAAATTTTCCGCAAAAATTTATTAAGATAATTGTTGTTGTTGTTGTAATTCATTTACGTCTCACTAGAGCGGCACATTGGGCTATTGGCGACAGTCTGGGAAACATCCCTGAGGATGATCCGAGGACATGCCATCACAATTTTGATCCTCTGCAGAGGGGATGGCACCCCTCCTTCGGTAGCCCGACGACCTGCACGCGAAGTCAAGCACTTTCCGGTAGAACAGTTTAACGAGGAACAATACCGCACACCCTCGATCCCTAAGAAGACTGATCCAAGTGGTCATCCACCCGCACACTGACCAGTGATGCTTGACTTCGGTGATCTGCTGGGAATCGTGCCTTAACGATCAGTCCACTGCGGGACTTCATTAAGATTAAAATCTATCCTTATTTATTCAATTTTCGTTTTTATAATTCTAATTTGAAACGATATTGACCATCACTACGCATAAAATTTTTTTAAACATATTTCAAAAATATATAATAATGATCTAAGGTCTTGGGGTTTTCCTGCCGAAAAAACACCCGCCAAATGCTTTGTATCGGGTTCGAGTCAATCCTGCCGTAACCCTAGATGTATTTTCATGTTGTCTTTCCCGGAATTGTTCTTTCTGCCCTTCATCTACTTGACAAGGGCTTATAAACCTTGATTGAGTATACAAGTCGGCATTTTTACGTTTGAACCAATAAATAAATAATCTAATGCGGTAGTTGTTTTGGTTAAATAAGCAAAATATTTCAGCTTACATTTGTAGTTCAACATGGTTCATCTTTCTGATTAAGATTCTGAGTGGTATCAGAGCATACCAGTCAAAATTTGCTTTTTCCAACAATGATTTTTCGAATCGGTAGTAAAATGTAGTTCACAAAATAAATAAAAGACAAATTTGTTTTTATGCTTTGCAGGAACTCAATTGCATCAATTTCCTAGTGGTACAAATATTGACTATAAACGGGATTTGACCCCCCCCCCNTTCCCCCCCCCCCCATCTAGGAATTTGTTGCTTCCTATCACTTAACACTAACGGCCACACCAATCATAGCGTATATTCGGACAAGACTCCTTTTATGCCATTTAATCCCACAATTTGGGATTCCAAAAGTTTGGTTAAGCCTCCACACGGTTTTTTGTAGGTAGTCCGATCAGACCACTATGAAGATTAACCTACATACCTGCCAACTCTTCCGGATTTTCCGGAAGATTTTATTTTCATATTTAAAGTGGTAGTAATTATATACTATTTTTCTTTTATAATCTTTATTTTTAAATGATATTGATCACCACTATTCTTACAAAAATTAAGCACATATATTAATATGCGTTACTTTCATGGTTGTCAACTTAAGTTTTCTCAAATACAACGTATTTGTTTGCTTAAAATTGAAGTTTAAATTCCATTTTAATACCACTGGGAAAAATAGTAATGGAAGGGATTAAAAGTTGGCAGGTATGAACCTATTACTGAAAAAACCATTTAATATGAAATCTATTAAAAATAAGAAAGTGGTAGTAAATATATGTCTAAATATTTGTTTAATTAATGAATGTAATTGGTTTGTTTTATTTACTTGTCAACCACTACAAATTCAATTCTCAAATATATATAATAAACTTCTCTCAAGTACTTTTAATATAGAATTTGGGTTCATGGGCAGAAGTTGTTCGCTTTTTAAATAATCTGCGCAGACTACCTATAAGAAACCGTGTGGAGGCTTTCTGATGAAGGAGGTGGTGGTTAAGCTCAATAGGATGTTCATCTCTACGGTAATCATTAGTAAAACACGAAGGATTAGCACGGTAGATGAAGAGAAGCCTGAGCATCAAGTCCTGTCGGTTGGTTGGTCGGGGACCTGAGGCCGAAGTAGCCCTTTACCCCTTTATCATGAATTGAAGGATCGTTTTTGTGATTTCTTACGGTCCTTGTTGCCTAAAAATAAAAGCAGAAAAATACAGTATAAATTGATAAGTCTGCTTAACTTATATATATATATATATATGTTTAAATATTTATTTGTAGTGGTAGTAAACATCACTCTTTAATTATTTTTTTAAAAAAAATCTAAAAATTTAATAGAATAGCAAGGATTTTAATACAATTTAAAAATATACAAGTTATTCCAAAAGAGTTGGCAGCTGTGGTAAAAATATAACAATTGATATTATAAATAAGAATGGTTGAAATCACATAAATCTCGGTGCGCTGCAGCAAAGCGGCATTAACCGATTCATCTGTAGTAATAAATCGATGATGAGGAGGAATGGAGATGGGAAGAAGAGGGGGTGCTTAGCACCAAAAAATCGAGAGGGGGTTCGTGTGAGTCGGCTGGGGCTGAATGTATTTCGTGTGCTAGGTGAACATATCCCTAAGGAAAAAGGCAGTGATGGGGCTAAATTTAGTGTTATCGTCAATTAGTTCTATATCTAGGAGTGAGTTAAAATTGCTGTTGGTACAGGTTTTTGCTTCATCGTAGAAATTTTTATTTAAATTTTTTATATAGACGTTGATGTCATCAATTTTAAGATCCCTTTTTATACTATTATTGCTAATGCATTTAGGTGCGCCGACTAGTCTTCTAATAATCTTCCCTTCTGCCATAGAGAGTTTATTTTTTAAATGATCACTTAGAGTGTTAATGGCGGGGCAGGCATAAGTTAGGATTGGCCTAATTGCCATTAGATAGACAGTGCGCTTGCATTTTAAGTCTAAAGATGACTTCGAGTTTAATATGGAGTTGAGGGCCCAAT